GCTGGCCGGGCGCCTCTCTGCCAGAGCCACCCACGAGCCAGGCTGCGGGGAGGGGGCTACCGGCTGAACCCCGCATCAGCAAGGCCGGAGGCCACGGTGCTGGGTGGGGGCCTCTTTCTGGGGAGGCAGAGGGGTCCCCTGACTGTGGCGGTGGGGGCGGGGCCCTGCACCACTGTGCCAAGGCCGGCCCCCCCACTCCTGCAGCAAGCAAGTGCGAGGCCCCAGGGCCCGGCCGCACAGCCCCGGGCACCGGCACCCCCAGCCCTGCTCCTGTCCCCGCTGCGCCCGCCCAGGCTCTCAGTGGACCCGCCTGTCCTGCACCCCTGCACCACGGGCCGCACCCCAGCTGTTCCCCGCACGGGTGGCCCATGTGGGGACAGCGCACGGGGCACGGGGGTCCTTGTCCCTTCTCTTGCCAGGGCTGCGAGGAGCCCTCGGGGCGAGTGGGGTGCTGGAGAGCACACCCAAGGTCACTGCGGTTCCAGGCGCCCTCAGAGACAGCTGTGGCCGGTGGGGCCCAGAACCGCCTTTCTTCCTCCGAGCCCGGGGGCTGCTGGCCGGGGCTGCGCCCCCACTCCAGGCCCCAGAGGCCCCGGGGCTCGGCAGAGAGGCTGGCTCACTCCCTCTGGCCTCCCTCTGGCCGGTGGTCGGACCTGCATGCTCTGCGCGGTGACCACTGGCCCTGGGCCTCCCCGGGAACAGGGCGTCCAGGCTGGGCAACTGCCCTGTGCTGCATCCGGTCCACTCCGACTCCTAGTTCTTGCGGACGCCCCGGGCACAGGCTGTCCCTGCAGCATCCTGCACTGGCCTCTACGGCCCGCTGCACACGAGCGACCCTCTCAACTCCGCGGGCCTCGCTCCCGGCCTCTGTCCTTAAAGACTGAGCCAGGGCCCTCCCGGGTGGCCAGCGGGCTGGAGCGCAGCATTACCAAGCCACTGCAGCATGCTCGGTCGCCAGCAGACCCCTCCTGTCTCCCCGCTGCCCCCTCAGCAGGGGGTGTCAGTGGATCTGCTCCCCACTCTGTCCCTGGGGAGTCCTTTCACCCACACACCTCTGGACACACCCCAGCTCTCGTCTCTTGTGTGCATAATGAATCAATCTTTAAAAAAGCAACCCCAGGGCCAGCACTGGCCCGGCCACAGCAGGCCGGCGCAGACCCGTCCAAGTGCCCAGGTGCGGAGGCACCTGCCGGCATGGCCAAAGGGCCTCTACCCCGCTGAAGCACCGGGCGGGAGGACGCAGAGACACGATGCACCGGGACCGTGGGCCTTGGCGCCCCCAAGGCTCCACGCAGTCCACCGCCCGGCCTCCCCAGCCACAGGCCCGCAGCGGCCCCCACCTCCTGTTCCAGATCAGGCCACAGCGCTGGACACGCCCTCCAGGCTCCGTCCTGCCGGGGCCTCGGGGCAGGACTCACAGGGCTCTGCGACCTGCGGGGTGCCCTCCAGGCTCCACTGGCCAAGCCGCTGGACATGCACCGCGCAGCCCCCAGCCGCCCCCAGCCCTGGGGTCTTCCCCGGAACACAC